GCTTTGAGCAGGGGGTTGGACTAGATGACCTCCTGAGGTCCCTTCCAACCCTGATATTCTATGATTCTATGATTGTGAGCTTATGGACACAGTCCCTGCTCCCTACATTCAGACAGTGCCTAGCATGCTTTCGGGTTCTTACTCACCCCAAATAAACTTCTTGGTGCTCAGCCCCACCAACAACCACCATATGCTTATTAGGATGATTGGCACCTTCTCCTGGTGACAGGGTATAATAACAATTGAGCGTAGCTTTAGAATCTCTGGCACCAGGCTCCCTGGGCACTTTCCTTTGTGCTCCTCTTTCAGGGGAGCATGTAAGAAGGGGGAGGTCAAGGAAATGCTTGTACATGCAGTTCTGTTGTAGCGCTTAGTGAGGATGCTACTTATGATGACAGAAACGCTTCTCCTATCAGTGTAGGTACTCCACCTCCTTGAGAGATGGTGGCTTTGTCTACAGGAGAAGCCCTCCCATAAATATAGCACTGTCTATACAGGGGGTAAGATCGGTATAACTGCGTCACTTGGGTGAGGATTTTCCACACCCCTGAGTGACGTAGTTCTGCCGACATAAGTCCATAGTGTAGACCTAGTCTCAGACTCCCTCAAAGTGCAGTCCTTGGTAAGTCCTAGAACCTGACTGGCTGCCCTTCGCTAACTTCCCTTGTTTGTGGAGGAGCCATTCATGGTGATTGATAGTAACAGTCTGCAGACAACGTCTGCTGTTCCTTTCCCATGGCTCTGAGTTCCTTGGTTGGTTGTTTTCATTGCTGCTGAACACACACCAGCAGGTCGTTTCTCTCGTCTGTCAAAGATGATGCAAGTGTCAGAGCTGCCATCTTGGCTGATGCATTGGGGATTGAACGGGGGCTTCTGGAGCTAAAGAAGGAGCTGCTACAGCTTGAACTAAAGAACCAAGGCTCTATAGCTAGGGGCTGTAACATGCACTGAGAGGGCTTCTGGCAGCCATTCACCACTAGGTTACCTTAGTACTAGGATCCTGTGCATTTATTTCTTCATTTAAATATTATTTTGTATACAAACGAGGTGTAGCTCTCTGGCTCCTGACAGGGTGCCTCTAATGTGGTCTGGTCACCCCAAGCTGAGGTGCCCCCGATTCAAGGCCTGGCATATCTCAGGTCATCTCTGACTCCATTCTTCTCTCTCCCCCCCCACCGCAGGCTCGGGCCCAGGCGGAGGCCCTTCACATTGGGGATGTACACTTCTCTGTCAAGCCTGGCTCTAGCACCTCCTCACCCAAGCTGCACTCCAGTGCCGCAGTGCACCGGCTCAAGAAAGACATCCGGCGATGCCATCGCATGTCCCGGCGTCCCTTGCCCCGCCCAGACCCCCAGAACAGCGGGGGTGTGGGTGGGGGGTCTGGCATACGTCCTCCAGTCTCACCTTTCTCCGAGACCGTCCGCATCATCAACCGCAAGGTGAAGCCTCGTGAGCCCAAACGCAGCCGCATCATCCTCAACCTCAAGGTCATTGACAAGGGTGGAAAGGCCGCAAGTGGAGGAGGAGGCCTGGCCCGGCCAAAGATCCCCTCACGAAACCGTGTCATTGGCAAGAGTAAGAAGTTCAGCGAGAGCATCCTCCGCACCCAGATCCGCCACATGAAGTTCGGCACCTTCTCGCTGTACAACAAGCCGTCTGCTGCACCGGCCACATCTCTGGAGGGCAAGATGGAGGCAGGGGGCTCACAAGGTGCCTCCTGCGCACTGATCATGGGCTCCACCCCTTACGATGCCCGCAGCTCCAGCTCCTCAGGCTGCCCCTCTCCTACCCCTCACTCCTCCTCCGACCCAGATGATTCTCCCCCAAAGCTGCTTCCCGAGACCCTGAGCCCCGCCATCCCTGACTGGCGCGAGTCGGAGGTCCTAGACCTGTCGATCCCACCGGAATCAGCGGCCACCAGCAAGCGCTCTCCCCCTAGGGGATGTGCTGGGGGCCAGACACCCTCATCGTCCCTCTCCTCTTCTGACCCGGAGCAGGAGGCTGGCGACTGGCGCCCCGAGATGTCCCCCTGCTCCAACGTGGTGGTCACAGATGTCACCAGCAATCTCCTGACCGTCACCATCAAGGAGTTCTGCAACGCAGAGGATTTCGAGAAGGTGGCAGCGGGTGGAGGAGGCAGCAAGTGAGAAGTTGGCTCCCTGCTTTGGGGGGGTAGGGGAGGCTCTGCTGGAAGAAGTCATGGTGTGAATGGCTGTTGTTAGTTTTCTCCTACTCTCCCCCCTCCCCTTCCCCGGTTCTTTTTCTTTCTGCTCGGAGACTGGGGTGGGAGTTGGAGGGCAGAGGTGTCTGAAGTTCCCAGATGTCACAGCTGCGAGGGGTTGGGCTGGGGAATGATAATTTGTCTTCAAAGAACATGTTGTCAAACTGGTATGGCGCCTGGACGACAACAGGTTGTGTGTATGTTGGGGCTGGGTGGGGAAGGATCCCCCCATCTTTTCTGAAGATATGGGGGAGCTCCTGCTACTGGAGAGATGGATAAGGCATTTGAAAGGGGCTGTGCTCCCCCCACCCTCCCCTTCTGCCCTGCACTGTGTACACACTCTTCCACTTCTCCAGTTCTTCACCCTGCCTTCTCCCAGGGCAGCTCTGACCCTCTCCTTTCTCTGTGGCATGGGATGGCTGTCTCTTATGATCCAGCTTCAGTAGCTCTGGCTGTATCTCTGGGAGAGGGACGCTATCGGGGTGGGGGGTGGGGGGGTGGAATAGAAGGTAAAGCATCAGGGCTAGAACGAGATTGCAACAGAGCCCGAGTGGGGGGGTTGTACCCCTACAACACATGCCCCTGGCTCACTTCCTTCTTGCTTTTACTAGTGGTGCTAACTTGGCAGTTGTATGGGCACTTTGAGACCACCTGGGCCCTTCCTCCTCCCTTCTGCTCCTTCCCTTCCAGATCTTCCAGTCTGCTCAGCTTTGTTGGGCCTGTCACTTCCAGCCTGGATCTTCCTCCTCGTGTTCGTCATTTGCACTTGCTCGGGTCTGAGGTATGCCGTACCCTTCCTAAGCCTTTTCTAATGGAAGTGGGAAAGCCACACGTCCGTCCATCAATTCAGGAGGAGCAATGGCTTGGCATGACATTACCCCAGCCGGATGAGGTCAGCAAGTCTTGCCTCCCAGGGAAAATATAAGCCTCCGTGGCTCCACTGAATCACTTCACAGGCCATGTGTGTGCGAAGGAAGATCTGCTACTCTTCCTGCTCAGTTTCATCTCTTTCTGGTGGGTGGGTTGGAGAGAATTCACCACAACCATTTCCAGGATCTGAAATTGCCTCTACAATTGTCAACCAAAGGTGCTAAGAACCTATTGTAAGAATTACCGTGTCTTACATTGTGTGTGTGTGTGTGTGTGTGTGTGTGTGTGTGCCTGCCTGCCTGCCTGCCTCTCCTTCCCCTGCCCCCCACCCCACCCCCAACTCCTTGGTTTTACATGTTCAGTGTGAAATTGGATCTGGAATCGCCACCACCCTCTGTAATTGGAAGCAGGCAATGATGTGGCTTTCTCCACTTCCTTGAGACATGCTCTTAATGTCCAAGGTGCAAAAGCGCTCTTCTTTGCCATTCCATGGCTTGTTTAATTCTATGTCAGTGCTGAGCTTTGTGGCTAGATACCCCTCCCTCACTTCCCCACTCCTCTGTTGCTGAATCTGTGAAACACTGGAGTGTGGGGAAGAGAGGCTGATTAATTTAGACTGAATTAGTGTTGCAGTGAGTATCTGCCTTGATTCCATGACCATGGGGAAAAATGGGGGGAGGGGGATGTTGCCTGTTGTGGGATCCATAATTAATAAATATGCCTACAGGTGTGTGCGTACTGGGGGGAGGAGAGAGGAACTCCGCTCTAAGGACTCTTCTCACACACACACTGCCACCAAAATAACTAAATTGGGTGGAATTCACCCCTTTTGTGGTTTTGCCTGCAGACACCCTGGATTTGAAGGGTATGTCTACACTACAAGCACTACGGCTGCTGCTACGTCACTGTAGCATAAACACTTGCTACAGTGACAGAAGGTGGTTTTTTGTCAGTGTAAAACCACTGCTTCAAGAGGCGGTGCTTGGTTGACAGAAGAATTCTTTCACTGACCTGGCTGCGCCTACAGTGGGGGTTAGGTTGACCTAACTACATCGCACAGGGCACAACATTTTTCACAGCCCTAAGTAATGTGGCTAGTTCGATCTAATTTTTAGGTGTAGACCAGCCTTAAAACTCACCTACTGCAAAATAAATGTCCACACAGAGACTTGCATCAAAATTTTAAAAAGGTGTGAATTCAAACGAGTTTAGTTCCAATTTGTGTGTAGCCAATCTGAGAGATGATCCCGCATGTGGTTAGTTGTATTCCCACACAATCACAACACCCCCCCCCCCCAACCTGCCCATCTTTTGTGGGTTTTTTAAACAAAACTTTTAAAATCCAGCAGAATATTTCAAAACCAGTTACAGGGTGGGGGAGACTTCCCCATTCATTCATCAGTCCAAGGCTTCCTGTAATTTGTTGGATATGTACGTGTGTATGTGAATTAATACCTGCCTGTTGTCTTTGCTTTGTTTTGCATCTTTCCTTCACCTTGCGCATGCAGGGTTCTCTTATTTCATGGTAACTTATTCTAATGGCTGCAGCTTCAGAAACAAGCAGGCTGGGGAAATGTGGGAGATCTATATTGGGAGAATAACAAAGAGACTTGTGTTAAAGAGAGATGATTTTAAAAAGGAATTAATTTATGAGGCTGCAAGATAAGAGGAACTATTTTACAGAGTAGATGCATGCCAGCCAGTCACTTTTTTTTTTTTAGGTTGCTTGGTTACTCTTGGCGTGTATGTGATGGCGTTCTTGTTTCGTGGTAATAAAGTTCAGAAATATTTGAAAAGTTTAAGTGGGAGAAAAAAGGGAACTTTAATAGGAAACTCTTGACATGTTTTAGCCAAGAAATGTTCACTTGGCAGAGGTTTTTTCCCCCCCCTCCTGATGTCTGTTTGGTGTTCCTGGATTGTTTTCATAATGAGGGGTTTTTGCCTTCCTCTGGAGCATTGGCAGGAGGATTGCATGGGGGCTTGGTGACCCTTCTTCCTGGAATTATAAAGAGGGGAGAGGAGCACTGGGCTTTGGAGGAACTCGTATCATAGATCATCTCTCTGTAGGAAGGAAGTGCAATCCAGACAGGGCAAGTAGCTTAACTGCTTGTGTCACCACCCTCCTGGGTGGGTCACCTGTGGGGATTGAACCCTGAACCTCTGGATCTAAAAGCATGAGTCTCTATTGCTTGAGCTTAAAGACCAGGCAGTAGTAGTCTCATAAATCTTTGTGTGGTCCAGCCACTAGAGGCTGACAAAACTCCACACTGGTATGAATGTGGGTTACGCTCACCTTCCATCTCCGATTTATTTTTTCCTCCCTCCCTACAGGAAGATAAAAGGGAGGTCCCATCCATGCTTTCAGAGAGGGCATAGGGTTGGGGGGAGTATTCAAAAGCATTCCCCCCAAACCAGGGAAACAGTCTGTGTCTGTGCCATGTTTATTCTCTTGTTGTTGTGTTTTTAGAGGAGATTTTATGATGGAAAGTGGAAAAAGTGAAATGAATAGTTTTGCTAAAAAAAAAAAAGAAAGAAAAGAAAAGAAAAGAAAAAAGAAAAGTTTTTAAAAAATGAAATTTCTATAGTGGGAGAGAGAGTTTAAAAATGAATAATAAATGCAGTGATTGCACAAACTGTAGTGGTATTAGATGGTTCTTAGAGAAGAGAGTATTTTGTAGTGTTGAAGTGTGTGTCTGGGATGGTATTTGGCTCACTTGAACTGGAGGAGGGTGTCCTTGGGGTAACCAGCAATTTCTGATTTGAAGAGGCAAGTCCTGTTTTGGAGAAAACCCATATAATTTACCCTTCTCTTTCCCACCTGCCCAAGTGTTGGAGTGAGTTCCATCCAACAGCATTACCATTCCCCTTCCCCACCCCCTCTCCAGAAATTAGATGGAGGCTCTGTATTTTTCTCCCCTTCACAGGTACAGTGGTGCCAAAGTTGTTGCAGAATGGTAAATCCTGACCTGATGGGGTCTGGGCCAGGCTGGTAAAATGGAAATGGCATGTGAGTGGAGCTGCTGAGATCTCAGATTGGCTTGCACCTTTCTTGCTAGATAACCACCCCAAGAGCGGAATAAATGCTCACTTAGAACAAGGCAGAGCTCCCTTCCTTGTCTTATTATCAGCTCACTGATTTCAATGCTTAGTGGAAATGGCATTTTAAATACAGAATTTGCCACAGCAGAACCCGATGTAGCCCAGTCTAGTTTGGTGTCCCACCTCTGGCAATGGCCACTACCAGATCTTCAGGGGAAGGCAGAAACCCCCCCGTGTACCTGAAGTTTCGGACAAGTGGGGAGCACCCTCTCCTTGGGAAGGCTGGGGTGTATCGAGTGCATGTTGGAGTAAGAGCCAGGGTGGCATCGAGGAGTTTTTACTAGAGCAGGATTGTATTCTTCTGGACTGGGGGGGTGTGACTGTCCCATAGTGGTGGAGGGAGCTTTCCCAGCCAAGGCTGCACTGTCTCTTTGCTGCATATTGTTCATCTGCTGTGTTGGGGTGATTGTAGGAAAGAGGATGGGAACCGGACGTTGGCGTCTGAATGTAATAAGTTATTAGATATGGGACTCTAAGATGTCTGTCCTCTGTGCATTTTGGGTAAAAAAACAAAACAAAACTATATTTCCTCTTCTCTGGGCTGTTCTTGGGAACTCATTTTCTCCACTCTTCACCCCTGAGCTCTGACAGTGCTCCTCTGTCCTGACCTACAGCTTCAGTCCTGAACTGAGCATATATACTAATCTCCTGTCTTTGCCCAGCACGCCGTTCTGGTCTTACTGAATGAAGCTAGCATATGGGCATGGAGCTGACAAGGATACAAAGCCTTTGCAGGGATGGGAGGATGTATGTAGGCCCAGTGGGGAGTTCTGCCTTCTAATCTTAGGTGAGCCACTGCTGTGTATTTTCAGGGGGTGGGGGAGTGTCTCTGCATCTCCTGTACTTCAGTCACCCCTCTCCTCCCACACCAACTGGGATGGAGGTAAGGTACCTTACCTCCTTTACCAAATGGGTACTGTCCGAGTTGAGTCTTCCTGGGGAGTTAAATCCCCTTCCTTGCCTCTGCTGTTAAGGAAAGTTTCAGGCGCTTTGCAATATTCCCAACAGTCAAACTTCCTTCATGGACCTGACAGCACTGCGGATGGAGAGTGGGAACTCCCTGTGGATATCCAAGCTAAAGTACAGGTTGGGGTGGGGAGCAGGGAGTCATTCCCTGCACTCCCGTCCTCCACACCACATCAACAGTGGCATCTGTGGATGTGGTATGGGGGGGGAGGAGAAGGTAGTGTAGCCAACTGGGGTGACCCTTCTCACCAGCGGGTGTGGGATTCCAGTTCCATAGCCAGGGCTTGGCCAGGGAGGTGTAACAAACCAAGAATGGGTGTCTGGCTAAGTGCTCTATGTCCCTTTGGAGGAGTGCTTGTCCGTCCTCCACCCCCGCACCTCTAACTCTGAGGCTTTGCACTGTTTGGCCTGATGTATCCTTTGCTCCAGTGTTGCTTGCTTTGCTGCTTTTTGGATTGCCCAATAATCATGCAAGAGCTGGGATCTTATTTACTTTTTATATGAAAAAAATATATATATAAAAGCATCCCCCACATAATCCGTCCCAATCCTTGTATCAAACGCATCATAGTTCAGAGGGTTGCTCTTGGGGCTGGGAGCTAGGCATTCCTGGGTTCTTTGATTTCCTGTGACCTTGTGCAAGTTTCTTCTCTGCCCTTTGCCTCCGTTCCGCTGTCTGTACCATGGGGACAATGCCCAGAGGATGCTGGGAGGCTAAATTTAGTAATGTGCATATAGAGCTATAGAAGGGCTGAGTATTGCTTCATAACCAACTCATTTCTTCCCAGATATTTTATAAATTCATTGCATTGTCACTCTGGCTTTGAACGAGGGAGCGTTTTGGCCCTCCTTCAAAAGTCCAATGTGTACATTTCTGAGGAGCAGAATCTCTCATCTCCTCTTCTCCACCCTTATTTTTCCATTTGCTACTTAACTTCCCCACGTCAGTTATCCAACATCAGATCTGGGCATCCCTGCTGCTCCTAGTCGCCCCCTCCCCCACAGTGAGGCAGTTGTGTTGACACTATGTGGTCATATATGCTCATTATAACATGCTATATACTTCCAGGGTTGAGATAGCCCTCATTGGTTTACAAGAAGTGGGGACTTCCTGGTTCCTTCTCTCTCTTCCCTCTT